GTCTCGTCCCGTCCCGTCCCGTCCCGTCCCGTCCCGCGCCGCGCCATGGCGGAAGGCCTGGAGTCGCTGGAGTCATGCTTGGAGCAGTACATCCCGCCCGAGGACCTCGCCGAGGTGAAGCGGATCCTCTACGGGGGCGAGGCAAGGTGCGCTGCTCGGACGGGCTCGCCGCCTTCTCCCCCCGCGGGGGAGGTCGTGTCCCGCCCCGACTCCCTCCTCCCCCTCGGTCTCCGGAATGGACGCCCAGCCTGGGAGTGAGGGGGAAGGAGCCAGTTTGAGGACGGGTGCGCAGGACACAGGGCTGGGCTGAAAGGAAAAAGAAGGGTAGGTCCTGCGGTGCCTGTGGTACTGCGGTGAGGTTAGGCTGATGGTGAGGTAACCGGGGGAGTTTGGAGGTAATCCAAGTTTTGAAGCAGGGCGGTAGAGAGGTTCTATGAGAAGGTAGCTGGAATGAAAGACCTGAGGGCGATAGCTTTGAGGGGGATCTGGGGAGGTCGTATCTTCAGGGTGAGGGAGCTGGAAAAGTGGGGATCTAACACGAGGACAGATATGTTGGAAAGAAAATGTTTATAATCTGAGGGTGGCAGGTCAGAGTTTGTACGTATGCGCTGCTTGATTTCTGTAGCAAGGTAGTAGTGTTTGGAAATCACAACTGTAGAGGAGGACACTGGGAGTTTGCTGCCACAGAGGAGAGCAGTGAGATTTGCATGTGACCTGGCTAGTGCCTGACCGTTCCCTTGTCTGATAGTTGCGTATAGGGCCATGGGAGCTTGGGTGGCTCTGTAGGAGTAGACAGCATTTGTGAACCTTTTGATCAGTTGCGTTCAGAGCAGAAAAGGAGAACATCTCATCTTGAAATGTCTTTGTTTCTTGTTCAATCCAGAAAACTTGATTTGCCAGCTGCTGCTCTATCAGCAGCTCAGGAAAGAGATTTTGAACTACAGGGCTATGGATTTGAAGCTGCTCCAGAGCAATTGAGACGGCCACGTATTGTTCGAGTAGGACTGGTACAAAATAAAATTCCACTTCCCACAGAAACAGCTGTGGCAGTCCAGGTACACAAACTGGGATCTGGGCCATTTCTGTGTAACTCCTCTTCTACCAGGTTGAGAAATAACATGCTTCGGTTGTTGATGTTAGAAACTCCATCATGAAATGTCTGCTGATTGTCCCGCAATATAGGACCCATCACTATCCTAATAGAGCTAACTGTAAGAAATTTGAATGACACGTTCAGTTCTATTGTTTCTCAGAAATATCTCGTGTTGTGTTTACCTAGTGAATTGCCCAACCTGTTTGCAGTTTTTCTAAAGCTAAATATTTAGTCACTGATTTTGTACATGAAAATCCTTTGCCTCTAAAATGAAGCAGAAAATCATTTACCCGAAATCAAAAGAGATAGCAACCCATGGAAACCACAGGTGCAATTCTTGTTTTAATTGAGAAATGTTCCATTATAGGAAAATCCATTAGAGTAAACATAGATTAATAAAGCTGTGTTCATTATTCTTTATACAGCAGTAAACCAAATCTTATTACAAGGTGACCATCATCTCCTAACATCTTGGACACAAAAGCACTGAGGTGATGTATCTAGAAACAGCCTCCTAAAAGTGGCTTTAAAAAAGTGAAAGGAAATGCCACATTTATAAAATCTCCTGAAGTAGTAGTTTTGTACAGTGACAGGACAGAACATTTCTGAGGTAATTTCTTTTGGAAAGATTACCTGTCACAGATGCAAGTAATTAATTCAGTATATGGATCAAGTTTGTGGATTCTTTGTAGCATCTGTTAAAAAGACTAACAGTTATATTAATGCTTTTACCTTATAAATAACTAGTTAACTATTTCTGTAAATCAGTGTACAGTTGTTGAGTTCGTAGGTCACTGCTGACTTGTCTTGCGTCTTTTTTTTTTATTGACACCTGAAAGTATCAATGCGAAGTGCTACACCTATGCTTTAAGTAGAATACTCAAGAAAAAAGTCGTTTGAAACAATGCTTTTTGACTAATTAATAAATGCTTTGGTGTTTTTTTTCTTGGTAATAACCTACTTAGGTCTTTGGACAGAGGGATTTAGAACATGGTTTGGAGTTAATAACTTCTAGAGAGTGTCCAAGATCTACATGTGTGAGCAGGATTTGGAGATAACCAAGGAAATGGACTGTCCTTACCTCATATTTTAAGATTCTGAGTACTTGACTTTGAATTCACATTTACTTAACATAGTTCTGTAGATTGTTTATGAGGAGCAGCAAAATTGTAATTTCTGCTGATTCTGTTAAGATTTTTTAGCTGTTTGCAAGTCAGTCAGCAATGAGTTGCCATATATTTAAATGTTGTAACCATGGAATTAGAATACCAGTGGATTGCTTTCTCTATTTTCAGCATCTAAATGCTTTTAAAAATCTGTATCTAACTCTTTCTATTATCAGTGCTCAGGAATGATAACTTCTTGAGTTATTCCCCCTGAAAGCAATGGGACTAAGTATAGAACAAAATAATATGAACAAAGCTTGTAAAACCAGGCTGTTAATATATAAGGGAGTTAGAACATACAGCTCTTTTCATAGCATGACACTTCTTGCAATCAGGTGGCTGCACTGCACAGACGAATTGAGGAGATTGTGGAAGTAGCTGCAGTATGTGGCGTCAACATAGTTTGTTTCCAGGAGGCTTGGAGTGAGTATTTTCTGTGATTCCTTCTGGGTTGTCAGAGGTCGAGTTCCTTCTATTTTAACAGGTGTCCTGTACTAGAAGTATGTCTTGTAAGTAGACAGCAGAGATCTTCCAAGATACAGCAGTTGACTTCACTGATTTGTTTTCTAAAGGAGAAAACAAAGAGTCTTAGTTTAGCAGAACTGTATGGAAGATGTATATGAAGTCTGTTATATTGAAGACTGGTGTATGCTGCAACAGTGGTATTTGTAGGTGTGCTCCTTCTTCATGTCATGCTTTGTGATCCTTTCCTCATTTTTTTCTTCTAAAGCTTTGGATTTTTTATAGACAGATACTAAAATTTTAAAAATCTGATTTTAATTAAAATGGAGTCTTTGAGGCTTAATAGAGGCAAAAACCAAAATGAAGGCCCAAGTTGTAAAAGCAAGTTATTCACAGAAAGTGTACACTAGTGACTGGGGTGTATTTTGTAGTTTTACCTCTGGTAAGACTTCCCTAAGTATATTCTTTCTCTTCTGCTTTGCTCTGTGTGGGCCCAAAACTCCTTGCTCTTGCTAAAAATATTTTTAAATAGCTTTTGCCTTTAAACAAGGAAAACAGTTGAATCATTCTTAAGTTGTTTAATTTGTTATCTGTATTCATGCAAATGGTGTGTATTTCTTGAGTGACATGAATATTCTTGTAAATTTTGTCTTGCATTGGTGTTTTCCAGCCATGCCCTTTGCTTTTTGTACAAGAGAGAAGCTTCCTTGGACTGAATTTGCTGAGTCAGCAGAGGATGGGCCAACAACAAAATTCTGTCAAGAGGTAAAAAAACAACCAAACAAAAAAACCCCCACATCCAGCCTCCAGCCCCAACCCATAATTATAACTGATTAGCATTGAATTCTTCTTTATGTACTGGTCTTGTACCACTGAGAAAACTGAAATAATCAAAAATAAATTTTCACCTTGCTTGACAAATATTACGTTAGTGAGTGAAGTAGCAATGGACAACAACAACAACTATGCTCAATATTTTTTAAACTACTTTGCATATCTTTTAAATTTCCATTTAAAAGGTGTTTCTTGCATAGAACAGTTGAGCATTAAACAATGCTTGTAGGAATGTGTGAGGAGAAGAATAGCTAGCCTTTTCTGAGCAGGGAACACTTTCACGCACATCTTTTGCATCTCCCTGTGAAATGACACAAATGTAGGGGTCTTTTTATCGACCCAAGGAGATTTGTTACTGTCTGGCTCTTATTTTTCCAGAGGCTGTTGATTGCAAGGGTTGCAGAGTTTATTTTTGTTCTCTGACTTTTTTTTTTAATAAGAAATTTAAATTATTTTCTTTTATAGGTGATTGAAACAACAAAAGACTGTTTCGATGTCAAATTTGTACAGATATGCACTGACCTATTAAGCTTTTGTAGACATCATAATATCTTTAGTCTGATACAGGGCAAGTGTATGTTGCTTCTCACTATGGAAGTTTAGAGAAATAAGAGAAAGAGAAGTGATTTGAAGGAAAAGACAATGTGCTAGTAAACTGACAGTCAGAAGCTGCTATATTTCTCACCTACACCTATGTTATTTAACACTGATAGTTAACATGGTTAATGCTATTTTACATTTCCTTTTTTTTCCCATCCTTTTTATTTATTTTTTTTTTTTTAATAACTGTTTTCAGCTAGCCATGGTGTCTTTCATTCCGGTATATCACTCGTGGTATACCGGAATGAAAGAATGGGATGGGATCAATCTCCTCTTATACCTGTGAATAGATAGAGGTCAGCTTTGTAGTTTGACAATTGCTGTTAGGATGCTTTTTTTCCTGTTGCATTTCTAGTTGAGGGATTCAGGTGGAAAGCTCCGTGATGTATCCCTCTTTGATGAAGAAACTGTGGCGATGTGGACGTGCCAATGTGGGTTAAGCATTAGCCCTTGGTAACAGTCAGAGTCATGTACCAGATGGAAACTTTTTTTAATCCTTCTTTATGAACAAAAAATGAAAATAATTACTGCAGGCTTGTGTGTAATAGAAGAATTGTGTTCATTTGTTTAGCTGGCAAAGAAATACAATATGGTTGTGGTATCTCCAATCCTGGAGCGAGATGAAATACATGGGGGAACTCTGTGGAATGCTGCAGTGGTCATTTCTAATTCTGGAGCTGTCCTTGGCAAAAGTAGGAAAAATCACATTCCGAGGGTTGGAGATTTCAATGAGGTGAGGTGCATTATTGTGATTATCAAGCTAATCTTACTTTGCAGCTCTTGTTCATGTCAGCATGTGTTGTATCAGAGTCACATTGGCAGGAAATGTAATGTATTTCTAGCAAATGTGGTTCGTTAAGTGTCAAATCAGTTTTTCTCAGGTGAAATTATAGTAAGTTAATTTACCAAGAATAGAGAGTGATGACTTTAAAGGACAAATAACACTGAGTCTTTGTCATGTTCTCTTCCTTGGCCTGATGGAAACTACAAAAGTATTGGGGATCTTTAAAACAAAATTTGGTAACTCACAGCTTTGTTACATTAGTTGTGCGTGATTGGCTCAGAAAGTTTTTGCATGTGTGCATGTTGAACTTATTTTAATTTGGAAGGCAATTGTTTCATGGTTCAGGTGTGAGCATTATTTATGGTCTTGATCTCTGTTTCTCTGTGAAGTTGTCTTGGAAATGACAGTTCTTTTGGTTATGTTTCTTTGAGCACAATCCCTTAATTCATTATGCTTCTGACTGAATAGCTGAAGGCATCTTCTGTTTACTAATCATGCTACTTCCACTGAAGCCCCCAGCAGTTTTTAGGCCATCCTCCAGGATCAGCTTCAGAAGCTGAACTGGTAGTAAAGGCAATGTCAGAACAAAACTGGTAGATCTGAAATGTGTTTACCCATCCATAGAATTATCACAAGCAGAAAGATCAGGATTAAAAATTAACCAAAGTCTAAAAATACATTGTTTTACCTAACTAAATCTCTCCTTGACAGCTAAAGTGAGTAATTAACAGAGGCTTTTCTTCTGAACACTGGGGCTAAATACCTTCTGTTGCTTTTGTTCCCTGTCTGAATGTTCCAGTCACTAAACTGTGGCTTCAGAATCCAAACTGCTTTTTTATTAATTTTAAAAGTTTTTTTGTGTCTTGAAACTTTGTTCAAAGACCTCAGGAAGTTTTGACCTGGGCTCCCAGACCTGATCAGACTGGTTTGTGTTTCTTCAGAGGAGGGTGTTAATAGGTTTCTACACAATGGATTTCTGGCACAGGCCTGTCACCAGTGTTGACTTCTATCTTTAACAATTATTTTCATATTTAATATTATTTTATCTGATCTGTCTTTTAGCTAGCAAAACAGTAACTAACAAACCCATATAAAATGCAAGCACTAATAAAATGAATTTTGGTTACTTTCCACATTCTTGATTTGTTCCTTGTGTCATCAAACAAAAAGTAAATTCCTGTTGCTTGTACTAAAATATGATGTCTTGCAATTTTCCAGATACTGTTTTGTGGACCATCAACAGATTCCAAGAATCTTCTTGTTTCCAGCTGTGAAACTGTAATGAAAGGCATCTAAAAAAGGAAAATATTTTTATTTTTCCATGTGAAGTATAAATAGAGCTTCAGTAAGAGTTTTGCATAATTCCTAAAAGGACTTAGTTCTTACAATCCTAAATGCCGGAATTCCCACAAAACTATCCATTTATATCTTGCAGGTATACTGTAATGATTTGACATCTCTTGTTGTATCTACCTCATTATAGAAGCAGGTAGTGTTTACCCAAAACAGTGCTGTCTTTTTAGCTAGTTTTCTTAGCAAAGTGTTAAGTCCATTCTTCTGAGCTGAGTGATTCTGATAGAGGAACTTCAGAAACCATCAAGACTACAGGGAAGGATTATTCTCATCTCTGTTATTTCAATGTTGTTTTCTTTATTAACAAAGTAAACCCCCAAGGAAGGGTTGAATTTGAAATTATTTTTTGTGGATTGTTTCTGTAGAGCAGATAGGAAAAGGAGCCTTGTTAAAATCATCCTTGTTGAATTGGTGAGAACTAAATGGAAAAGGGAAAG